CTTGTTCATAAACAATGTAACACTAAATACATGTATACTACATATATATATATATAGTCAATATTAAAACTGTCCATAATTCATACATTAGAAGTGATATTATTTTTCCTAATTTTTATCTGAGACCCCCTTCGGATATATGGCAAAAGCGATGATCACTTTAAAAGTACTTCCACGTTCTTCTTAAAAAAAAATATTCTCATAAAAATATCATAAGTTTGTTATACAACTTTAGTAATATGTATAAGAACATTAGTAATATGTATAAAAAAAGAAAGAAGGGAATACCCCGTTAACATTGGAGCTTAGCACAATGAAAGTATCGTTCGCAAGGGACAAGCGTATGCATTCGCACGTGAACGCGAGCATGCAAAGGTGTTCGACCGGTATATGTACACAGTATATTGCGTGTTAAGTAAAGCAATCATAGCTAGATAACGCCTCTGTATCCTTGACTCTAAACGCACGCTAACCGATGCGTGCTCTTAGACACACCGTGTGTGAATGCCAGCAGCCTCGGTGCACGCATCGGTTTCGGTTACTGTATTCCGGTTCGCAAGAATACAGACTTGCTCTTAGCTTATGTATTCGAGATGAAATTGAGAAAGAATGAAAGCAGACGGAGAACCTCTTGGACGACTGGGCCTCTGTCTACTTGTTCCGAATATTCATTATTTGAAATACGATGTTTTAGGAATTATGGGTGACATCTGGTGAGACCACAAATTCAGATCAAATTAAAATCACTAAGTGGTTATTCTTAATAATTCACTCTTATAAATTGTTCAAAATATTGTCAATAACAATGACAATTATTTGAGGAAAAAATATTCATGAAAGATGTGATGGTGCAGTATGTGATGGTTCTTTTTAAGTGCAACCCTAACTAAGAAAGTATATGACACATTGGCAGCTATGGTGACAAGTGAAAATTTAGGTAAATTCGTTATTAATAGAAAAAGCAAATGAAAGCTTTTCAGAGTTCTGAATCTTGAAATAATAATGTACATTCATAGATTGAAAGATGAAATTGGAGGATTAACCTAACCTATACATGTTATTCTCCCTAATAATCGATATTGTAACGTGTCCACATACATCAGTTTTCTTTACTACATTCGGACATCTGATGAATACACTAATATATCAGAATTCCGACTTACAAGTCTGATTCATTTGATCTTGTTAGATCAATATCCCAACATGAGGATACGAAAAATGAGGATAGAAAAAGAGTGTAAATCAAGGTTGCGACTTCCGAGCAAAAAGAGGGTTGAAGCAAGCAATAAGAACCGTTTTCAATCTTTATATAATGTCCAGATGAAATTATTTACACGACAGAAACCTATTGTTTGAACCGGGAAAAGCGTTATGAAGTGTGCTACAAGAACATTGATGAAATCACTGGAGGAAATGTCACGGTTTGTATATAAAGGGTGGCGTTTCTGAAAGCGTATGACGGCTCGCAGAGAGCGTTACAAAGGTTAATGCTAGCAAATTCGTGACATTTATGTTTATGATGTAATTTAGGAATATTTAGTGTAAACGCTGAGCGCTACTGCTCTTGGACTTTCTATTGGCAATTAAGTGTACGAGGCATTTAGCGTTCTGTCGGTTCGGATCAAATCTTGTCTGCAAATTTTTAGATGTTTTGATCACGGTGTTTGTGTGTAAATACTTGAAAATGTTAGTAAATATTTAAAAATGTCAATAAATGTTAGTAAATGTAAGTAAAAATTTTAGTAAGCATCCAAGTATATTTATGAAGGGTTACGTGCATTATAAACATACATTGTGCGATTCTGTTGAAAACGTACATGAAAATAATTAATTTTAGTGAAACTTCAAAGGTTTAACTACACCAGAACAGGTATTCTTGTATTTACTGTACAGAAGTAGTTTACAAAGCATTTTTATTTTATAAATGAAATGTTATAGTTTGAGAACTATGTTTAAAATTAAGAAACAGAAACATAGAGGATTAAAGAAGATTACAATAAAAATTATTCCAAACGGACACAAATATGATTTATCACATAACTTTAGAAATAGAAATTTGGGCAAAAAGCAACTTCTCAATAGCTTGACAAAAAATTATATTCTCCTTATTTTATAGCGTTAGAAGAGTTATATTCACCCTGCAGTAATTAGGTTATGTCTACTTTCAGTATCTTCCTTGTTCAACGTCCCAATTTTGAGGTTAAAATCGCATAAAACAAAGTAGAGAATAAAACAAAGTAGAGAATATCTAAAATGTACGATCAAGTTTGAATTCCGCCGGGTTCACCGTGAATGTTACTGTTACCGAACATAGTGTTTAGGCACAGTACAATGCACCTTTAGAATACCAAGCATACGATATATATATTTCTATTTGAACCGAGTGACCGCGTAAACTGGTTAACCTCTCCGGAACATTAACTCACAACTGACTTGATGCTGAAAATATGTAAACAAAGGCATTCCAAACCCAATGGAGACTGGTAAACTCGTCTCCTAAATTTAACGTTTCGATCAGAACAGGATTTTATGACGGAGAATACAATGTTACGTGTAAAAGTGACCAGTTTTCCGTGCCGATACTGAAGGAATTACACTTGAAGCGTTTCATAAAGGACTGCATGCAAAAAAGTGAAAGTAACGTGTGCCGTGACGGGCCGCATTATCAAATCGTATTAATTAAAATAATTCTTAAGTGACGTACGAGCGATTTATTTTCAATCGTAGTGTTTGACTGTTTAGTATTTTAGGTGCGTTAGGTGGGTTTTTAGTTGGTGGGATTTTTGGAGGTTTTATTTAATTCAATTTTAATGGGCTGATATTTTACTATTTGTCTATTTTGGTATTTTAGTATTTTTATACTTTGGTATTTTTGTATTTTGGTATTTTAGTATTTTGGTATTTTGGTATTTTGATATTTTACTATTTTACTATTTTACTATTTTTCTATTTTTCTATTTTTCTATTTTTCCATTTTGCTCTTTTGCTATTTTGCTGGTCTATTTTGGTATTTTAGTATTTTTATACTTTGGTATTTTTGTATTTTGGTATTTTAGTATTTTGGTATTTTGGTATTTTGATATTTTACTATTTTACTATTTTACTATTTTTCTATTTTTCTATTTTTCTATTTTTCCATTTTGCTCTTTTGCTATTTTGCTATTTTGCTATTTTGCTATTTTGCTATTTTGCTGCTTTTCTATTTTATTATTTGTTTATTTTGCTATTTTGCTATGTTACTGTTTTTCTATTTTACTATTTGTCTATTTTGCTATTTTGTTATGTTGCTGTTTTTCTATTTTACTACTTGTCTATTTTGATATTTTGCTATGTTACTGTTTTTCTATTTTACTATTTGTCTATTTTGCTATTTTGTTATGTTACTGTTTTTCTATTTTACTACTTGTCTATTTTGATATTTTGCTATGTTGCTGTTTTTCTATTTTACTATTTGTCTATTTTGCTATTTTGCTATGTTGATGTTTTTCTATTTTGCTAATTTGTTATTTGACTATTTTGCTATTTTACTATTTTACTATTTTACTATTTTACTATTTTGCTATTTTACTATTTATCTATATTACTATTCTACTATTCTACAAATTCGCATTCCACAAAAAAATAGATAAAAGTAGATTAAGATAAAGCTACACATCATCCACATTTGTATTACATTTTATATGACAATAAAAGATAAAACATTTAGTGCTCCAATAAAAATTAACGTTTTTCATAACTCATTTTATAAAAGTAGTTATTAATACGTCGATCACCAACCGCAAAAATAGCCACACGTAATTCGGTATGCTATAACATCGATTGTCAAAGATATCAGAAATTAATTTTTTTAGTATAATGACTTAATCTCCTGTTCCACATTATTACTCTGACTTCAACAGTATTCGTGTATTTTTATTTTTTAATCATTTAATTAAAATAAAATTGTAACTGTCACCGGTGATTAACGCGACCTACCAGAATTTAATATTTCAATTTAAATTTTTAGTTTGAACAGCAAAGATTATATTTCTCTATTCTTTTATTAATCATTCGACTGTATTTAATTAGCGCCGCTTACCGGTGACCCTCAGGGCCGTCAACGTGTTAAGGAACACTCTTTCACTTATAATAACACAGTATTTTATCACGTTCTAGTACTGCATTTGTACGGAATATAAATATAACCGAGCAGGTTATGCACACGAAGTGCAATATAAATTATTTATCTCAGGAAAGTTTATTAGTAATTATTAGAATAAATAAACCACCATTTCTGCACAAGAAATTACACATGTATTTTTAAGTGCATGTACCTCAAATTTATAGAACTGACATTGACACTAATTATGTCAAATAATTTATTTTATTTTCAACAAAATTTCTTAGGAATTAGAAATTGTGGATCTCGAGTTTTATAATTAAATTATTTATAACTCTTTGATTAGTGTTTTGTGATGATGAACAAATAAATATGTGAACAGCGATATTTCCATAAATCCTTTAGAGGATGAGTAGTTAAAATCAAGCAATGACGAATACGTGTTGAACACAAGGCCTATTATAAATGTCACGAATAAAGTAGAACGAAACGAGGATGGATTACAATTTCATTCGATAAAAATCCCACCATTCGTTAAGACACTCCACACCGAAATAATGTTCTGGTTCAACATGTATACACGTCAAATGAGGTCAAAATTGACTCCAACTCGAAACAGAATTTTTTAAATATAATTCAAAATTGACTCAACAGTGAATTTACATAATCCGTCAAAATATATCTTAGATTTCTCCAAATTACGAAAATTAAGCTTTTGTCCAAATAACCTGGAGACAAAGAGTCAATATAAGCTGGTATATGTATCATATGTGAGCAATTTTTATAGTCTAGTTTCAACCGCAATATAAGTAATCATCGTCCATAAATTTAGGGTCAATCTAACGTTCGATATCCACCGTGACAGCTGCAAAGGTACGAAAGAAAGGTAGCAAGTACTCACCAGAAGGAAAAGTACCGTGCTCGTGGCAGTCGTTTGTAGAGATATTCCGTACGCCATTTCTCGCGATCAAACCACCAGGCACCTCCTCTACCAGAGCATCCTGAGACGTCGTCAGCGAAGCATGCGTTCCGTCGAGCTAACTCGTCGATTAACCTCGAATCACTTTTCCATCACAAAACCACTAGGATATTCGAGCCGGCCTCTCTTCCGACACGTATCGACTATGAACGAAATGTCGAATCAAAGGGTAATTTCAAGCTCCTCGATCATGAAACTATCCCGGTCATCCAGGAATATTCGTATCGAAGCTTGGAACAAATGCTTGATTCCTCTTCCGAGCACCGGGTAATTTCCGTATCGATAGGAGCACGATTGTAAACGACGCGGCAATTGAAGGTAGCCCGGTCGTTTATTGGGGACGATCGCGCAAGTTTCGTGGTCGTTAAAAGGTGACGATTGCACGGTCCTAACCGTAGCACAGGGCTCGGGCAACTGACAGCGGGTCAGAGCCGCGGCACACGGCGCCACGCCGCTCTCACAGCTGATCCGAGTAGAGCCGATCGCCTCTACTCGCCTCTCTACCCTCTCTCTAACACATATACACGCGATTCTTAACCTCCGCCACCGTCTGTTGTATCTTGTATGTACTCCCTACGATTTTACCTCGAATAACCGGAACGTCAACTGCCTGACGAATCTGCCCCTCCGCCATTCCGACTACGATACGTGTCATTGTTGCAATTTGTGGACCGGGAAACCCCTGATCATAATCATCATTTTCATTTTTGTGGTCTTCGTAAAAATTTGCAAGGCTTTCTTAGTAATCGAGAGACTTTCAGGCGTGTAGGATATTTGTGACTAATATTTTTACTCATATGTGGATTGCACATATGTTGCAACACATATGGACTGGGAAATCTTATCATAACCATCATTTTGATCTCTGTGGCATCTTCACAAAATTTGCAAGATTTTCCTAGTAATCGAGAGCGTTACACATGAGTGGAATATTTGTGATTAATATTTTTACTCATGTGTGGACTCTACATATGTTGCAGCACGTATGGACTGGGGAATCTTAGCATAACCACCATTTTGATCCTTGTGGCATTTTCATAAAAATTTGCAAGGTTTTCCTAATAATCGAGAGCGTTACACATAAGTGGAATATTTGTGATTAATATTTCTACTCATATGTGGACTATACGTATGTTGCAACACATACTGAATTGGGAAGTCTGACCAGAATCATCGTTTTCATTTTTGTGGCATCTTCGTAAAAGTTTGCAAGATTTTCCTGGTACTCAAGAGTGTTACATATGAGTGGGGAGTTTGTGACTAATATCTTTATTCATATGTGGACTGTACATATGTTGCAACATATATTGGTCTGGGAAATCTGACCATGATCATCGTTTTCATTTTTGTGGCATCTTCGTAATAAATTTGCAAGGTTTTCTTAGTAATCGAGAGAGTTCAACATGAGTGGGAAGATTGCGACTAATATTTTTATTCATATGTGGACTCCACATATGGTGCAACACATACTGGATTGGGAAATCTTATCACAATCGTAATTTTGATCCTTGTAGCATCTTCATAAAAATTTGCAAGGTTTTCCTAGTAATCGAGAGAGTTCAACATGAGTGGGAAGATTGCGACTAATATTTTTATTCATATGTGGACTCCACATATGGTGCAACACATATAGGACTGGGAAATCTTATAATCATCGTTTTGATCCTTGTAGCATCTTTATAAAAATTTGCAAGGTTTTCCTAGTAATCGAGAGAGTTTAACATGAGTGTGAAGATTGTGACTAATATTTTTGTTCATATGTGGCCTGTACCTTCATATGTGGGATTTTTGTTGTATCTCTACAAAAATTGGCAAGGTTTTCCTAGTACTCGAATGAGTTTCAGTGGATTGGGAAGTTTGTGACTAATATTTCTGATCATATATCGACTGTACACATATGTAGTTGTAACACATATTGGAAACCTGGTCTTGCCCTTCATTTGGATTTTTGCATCTTAAATTGACTAGGTAAAGGTGGTGCTTAAACCAGTTACATTTGGGTAAAATATTTGTTAATATTTCTACTTACATACTGACTGTACATATATGTTTTTACAACACATACAGAATCAACACACCCTAGACCATGTCCTCCATTTTGAATTTTTATTCCAACTTCGCAAAAATCGACAAAGTAAATTTCCTGATGTTCGAACGAGTTCCAATTGAATGTTAATTTTGTTAATAATACTTCTTACAGTAATGTCTTGATATTAGTGAATCTTTCTGGTTAAACTTTCGCTTATACCGCATAGTTCACACAATAAATTTTCCTCTAAAAATACGAATAGTTCCATTATCTTCAAAACTATAATACCCTCACATAATAGATGTAAATTGTCCCATTTAATAATTTATTATAATTTAATAAATTCATTCAAGATAAAAGTATTTCGAATGAAAATATATGTTCGAAGCTCCAGAAAATAATTGATGGCCCGAAAAAAATATGTCCAATGGATATCATATTTAGCCGAGCTACAAAATACTTTATGAATAAATCGGCAGTTTCAATTTTGCAAGAACCTAATAGCTTCTTCCGCTTTAACTAGTCGAGTGAACAGGTAACCGATAACTAGCGAAGTGTGAAGGAGATCAAGTGAGGCTTGAAAACGTTTCGATCGATCCATGTTCTTGTGGACAACATTGGAAAAAAGTATGTTCGCTGCTATTATAAGAACATGTTTTATACATGATCGTTTAAGGAATGTGTTTCAAAAATTTTATGCGCTTTTTTGCAAGTGAACTTATATTTATTTTAAAGGTATGGCTGTTCAACGTAACAACCAATTCAGTCAAAATTGTGCAAATCTTTGAAAGAGAGAGTGTGTCGTCTCCTGAATGTGATAGTTTTAAAAATGGGTATCAAAGGAGCGCTTCTGTATACGCGGTTTGCATACACAAATTTTTGGTGAAACAGTTTTACAAGTTACCGAATCGAATGAAAGTGTAACAGGGCTGACCGATATTTGTAATAGATGTTTAATTTGCTTTAGGTAATTTTTGAATATTCTGCTTTGGAACTGATAAAATTTGAGCGTGAGGGAATATAAAATTTAATGTAGTGATGGGTTATTAATTTTGGTAATTAGGTTGAAAATAGTAGTTCAATTTGAAAGAATAATTTAGGAGGGAGAGGAATTTTCTATTGTTTATAATGGGTTTGAAGGATTAAATGTATACAATTGTAAAATTCAGTTTATTGCTTTTTTTAGGTTATCAAACTTTTGAACTTTCAGATTTCCAAATTTCCAAATTTCCTAATTCCCAATTTCCTAATTTTTCAATTTTCCAATTTTCCAATTTTCCAATTTTCCAAACCCCCAATTCCCAAATTTCCAAATTTCCAAATTTCCTAATTCCCAATTTCCAAATTTCCAAATTTCCAATTTCCTAATTTTCCAATTTTCCAATTTTCCAATTTTCCAATTCCCCAATTTTCCAAATTTCCTAATTTCCTAATTCCCAATTTTCCAATTTCCCAATTTCCCAAATTCCCAAATTCCCAAATTCCCAAATTCCCAAATTCTCAAATTCCCAAATTCTCAAATCCCCAAACCCCCAAATCTCCAGGTTCTCAAATCCCCAAACTCTCAAATTTCCAAATTCTCAAATTCCCAAATTCTCCCCCAAATCCCAAAATCCCCAAATCCCCAAATCCCCAAATCCCCAAATCCCCAAATCCCCAAATCTCCAAATCCTCAAATCCCCAAATCCCTAAACCCCCCAAACCCCCAAATCTCCCAATCCCTAAACCCCCAAATCCCCAAATCCCCCAACTTTCTCAAATCTTCCCCATAGTTCCAAAATTCCCCACCATAAATCACATTAAACTCAACAATATCTCACCTCGATGATTCTTACATAATTCCACTATATTTCACACGTTGACAAATTTTTCCTCGCGACTCCATATTTTCTGGTGACTCCCGCGTTAATAAATTAAGCATGATAATGACTCGATCGCCATCAACACCTTTTTTTCTGGAATACTAGTTCACCTCGTTTATGCACTAAAGCTACGACCGTGATATTCACGACTGATTATGTGTTTTGTTGTCGCATAATGTAAGAGAAAGTATTGCGAAACACGTGTCACACGTTGTATCGAAATGCTAACTACACTGTGATTAAATTACGTACATCTGTTCAATGCAAAATTGATTTAATCATATTTCAATTTTTAGGTAGATATTATTTATTTTTCATATGATTTATCAAATTGGATGTGGAACTCCTCATATGTGGACGTAACACATGTTCATATAACTTCAATTAATATATCGCATAGTATGGATAGAATTTTTCAAATAAAAGGCCTAATAACATCTCAAATAAATCAGAAAGTAATATAAAAAATTGAAAAATTGAAGACTGGAAAACTGAAAAATTGAAGACTGGAAATTTGAAAAATTGAAGACTGGAAAATTGAAAAATTGAAGACTTGAAAATGAAAAAATTGAAGACTTGAAAATTGAAAAATTAAAGACTTGAAAATTGAAAAATTGATGACTTGAAAATTGAAAAATTCAAGACTTGAAAATTGAAAAATCGAAGACTTGAAAACTGAAAAATTCAAGACTTGAAAATTGAAAAATCGAATACTTGGAAATTGAAAAATCCAAGACTTGAAAATTGAAAAATCCAAGATTTGGAAATTGAAAAATTGAAGACTTCAAAATTGAAAAATTGTAGACTGGAAAATTGAAAAATCGAAGACTTGAAAGTTGAAAAATCCAAGACTTGAAAATTGAAAAATCGAAGACTTGAAAATTGAAAAATTGAAGAATTGTAGAATTAAACAATTGAGAAAATTGTATAAGTAAACGAAACACGTGTTCTATCAAGTACAGTGCAATAAATGTTTGATGACGTTTAATTCCCTCCATTTGTAAATGGGAAGCAAGCACTTATTAATACGTGATGTTCGAATAATAATGAAAGTCACAATACATCTCCGTATTACATACTCCGAATAAGCAAGGTCCGAGAACGCCTTAATTAGGCGATCGTTGATGTGTATCGAAGGTCACGAGCGAACTGTTCGCAATCACAGATGGTTCGCAAAAAATCAACTGCCCGTGGATACCGCCCACGTGCCCTTAATGTCCACCGTTTCGTACATGTATAATCTGCCACGGTTCCGTAGATTTGGAACAAATAAATTCACGAACGTGGTTTCCATCTTGTTTGTCCTTTTGCTGTGTGTACACGGCTTTATTACGGGCAATCAGAAGCGGTTAATTACAAAAGAGACAATATCTGAGAGCAATTTGTGCTTCTGGCTATGCAGGGTACCTGAATTTTAACGAGATGATTTGTGCTCTTTGGGGTACTGGAGACAGGTAGATGATTGATCAAATGTTTATTTAGGGATATCGGAAAGATAACTTCTTTGTAATATGATTAATAACAGTATTTTACATCAAATAATTCTTCTTTGGGAATCCCAACAATTTGTGTCCCTGAAAATTATCCTGCTTTTATCTGT